ACTCAGCCTCCCCCTTTGCTAATGGGCCATTAAGGCCTGGGCCAGAGTATTCTACATAACAAAGGCCTCTACCCATCTCACTACCTGGCCTGGAAAGATTGTATCAGCCAACACTCAAGTGAAGCCATGTGGTCCAGACAAAGCCTACAAAGTTAGTTAAGACACACACATCCCGCTCCAGGAGTCTGACAGCTAGTGGGATACATTTCTTACACAGGAACAGGAAACACTAAAGTGGGGCCCAACAGAGATTATAAAACTAAGGGTCTCTCAGCATGTCAGCCTTTTTTCTTTCTTTCCAGGGCATGTGATCCTGTCCACCGTTAGGCCATCTTTCCAAGTAGTCACCATGTTTCCAATGTCTTTCTTCCCCACTTGGAATTGAATCCAGAAGGCTATTTCTTCCAACAGTGCATCACTGCAGTTATTAAGTTAGTAACATGGTTTTTAAGTGAATCTGGCTTCCCCCACTGACTTTGCTTGTCAGAAGGTCGCAGAAGCTGATCACATAACCCCAGGATACTGCAACAGTCATAAATACGAGTTAGATGCCAAGCAGCTGAATTTTGATCACATTACTATGGGGATGTCACAAAGGTTGTAAATGTGAAAAATGGTCATCAGTCACATTTTTCAGTCCCATTGTAACTTCAAAAGATCACTGAGTGAACTGTTGTAAGTCAAGAAATATCTGTACAAAGCAAAGAGGATGTTCTGACCCACACCCTTTCCCAACAAATCAAACTCAATTCAAAAAGAACAGAAACCTTGGAATGCTTTTACAAAATGATTAGCTGTGATAAGCACAAGCCTTGCCAAACTGTGCAGGACTTGCCAAAAGATAACAGACAAGAAATAATTTGCAAAATAAGAATCTTCAAATACAAACTCAGGATACTGGAATGCCCACGAGGTTGTAGTCTCAAAACATCTTTACCTCCTGTAAAGAAGGTTAGTTTCACACCTGGCTTTTATATTCTTGAAGGAGGGGCCATTACCTTGCAGCTTTACTCCCAAGTCACCTGTGCTGTTGTAACTGCTCTTTCTTACAAGCAATCCTGCGCATACGCAAACTTGGCACAGGCTCCTCGGGAACCTCCTCATCCCTGCTGCCAGCCCCCGCAATCTCTGAAGGTGGCAGTCCACTCTCTAATGGCCCTGGCCCCTCATCTGAGTCTTCACTCTCCTCAGCCGTCCACACTTGCTTCTGGCTAACCACAACAGAGGACCTGCTATTGAATGTAGCATTTACTTTTCAATGGACAAGGAGACGTCTTCAATTTGCCTTATACTGGCAATTTCAACAGCATAATCATACAGGAGTGTGCTGAAAAATGCAAAGGATGGATGCCAAAGATTTACAGTCCAAAACATGTGGCATCAATTATTCAGCATAGCCCAGATTCTATTAGGCAAATGGCAAGTTCACCGAATGTACTGAACCATCCTTTACTTTTCATACTGTTATAAACTAAACATTATGCTAAGCCAGAGGCCATGTTTGCACAACACGCTGAGCCCCGGGAAAGAGTCCGTCCGTTCTTTCCAAACACCTTTTCGCTGACTATTACAGCCTGACTCACCATTTTAGAGCAGGTGTTTGCTTCCAGGGCTTCGACAGAGTGTTTAAATGTCATTTTATTGCTTGAGAGGTCAGCTGATGAATTAAACCTTTTGTTTAATTCTCTACTGTCACCACTCAAAAATCTGTGCTGACTGGGGAAAGTTGCTGTATCCATTTTACTGGGGGAGAAAGTCCCTGTAAATTTAATGAGTCTACACTGAACAGAGGTGTCTTGGAGTGCTCTGGTAGATACAATTATACAATTCAGGTTGTTGTTTTTTAATTCATTAGAGCTAGGCACAAGAATTACTCAGGAGGTTAAAAATAGGACTCATTTAAACTTTACCCCTGTGTTATTTGCTTATTGTGTGCTGACATTTCTTTCTACATTCCTGCTGGCAGGAACTGGAGGACACTGAAGAATTAAACATTTTGAGGACATTCTATTATTACAGTGATGAGTCACAGAGCAAATTAACTTCATAATCACTAATCTAGTCATTTCTCTACAGGAGTTTTGGGACTCTGCAGACACACATACATACACACACACACATGCACATACATTAATTCCTCAAGCAGAGTCCTATATCATGCTTACCCACAATTATGGTCTGATTCTCAATCTATGGTCCTCTGGGGTTGATGTTGTCATAGGGGGTTCACAAAGGTTTGAAAAAAATGTATTGAATTAAATCTTAAGTCTTGAGGGTGCATGGCCACAAAAGGAATTTAATGGGGGGTCCATGGTGAAGCAATGGTTGAGAGCCACTGGTCTAAACAATTGGGTTCATCATGCACGCTAAGTTGTAAACCATGACTTACAAACCAAACAAACAAAGTTTGGAGAACATGCTACATCAACCCAAACAGAGCTCATGATGGTTTATTGCAACACTTGAAGGAAATATCAAGAGGGCACAAGATAAAAGTTTAATTCTCTCCCTTTTCTGTTCTTGCCCATTGCTTCTCCAACACTTTAGCAAGGAAATCTGCCAGCAGGCAAATGATCTGACTAACAAACGGATCCCAGGTCACGGTGCAGAGTTTTGAATTCTCCACAATGTTAATTTGCGTTCAGCAACTTCCATCCTTTTAATCCTTCCATTTCTAAAACTAGATAGATAGTGGTGACGGCCGAAGCGGACTAATGAGATCACTGAAGATGGGCCATGTCTATTCACGATGAAATTGGTATTAGGAGAGGAGGGAGGAAAAACGTCCAAGTAAGTTTTCTGGATCACAGCTCACTCCATCTTAAGAGATGGCCTGGTTAAAAAAGGGGAACTGGGTTGGCTCACTCGTCTCTGCATTTTGAAATACACGTACCTTGGTGCTCTCTGAGCTTGGTCGTTTTCTTGCAGACGCTTCATTACCCGAATTAGGTAAAATCATCAACACGATGATGTTACTTAGTTTGGGTAATAAAATGCCTGCAAGAAAACAACCAAATTCAGAGAGCACCAAGGAAATTTTTTGTTGTCTTTTAATGACTCCCTTACATCAGGTGGAGTTGGGGCAACTGAATGGAGCTGAGTGTTTACTGGCCGGATGCCCTTCCTGTCACCAGTGCAGAGTTCACAGCTGATATTTACTCATTGTGCCCAGAGTGAGAAATATCTGCCGCTACCTAGGATCGAACTCACAGCCTCCTGATTGCTCAACCTCTAGGTCATTGCACCACTCAGAGAACACCAAGGAGCCCTCATTCCAATCCTGACCTATAAATATTTATTCCCTTTTACTAGATAGAACAATTGAAGCTGGATTCATTAGACATACCCCAAACTCTATTGTGGAATTTCTGACCACCAAGAGGGTGTGATGTAGCCTAATCAAAAAGACTAGTTGTGATTCGCACCCAGAAATATTTTACTCATGGGCTACTTACTAATATGTATATTTTGGTCTCTCTCCCCAAAATATTATAAACAATTACAAGGCATAAGACATTCCACATAATAAAATAATATACCGTACTTCACGAGCATGAAATAAATACATAGTAATTGATGGGGACTATAAATATTTTATTCATGTTGTCGTTTTGCCAGGTTTGGACATATCATAAACACTAGCTTGGTTTTCAGTAGTCATTCCACCAGTTTGACAGCACATGATTCAAGCAGTATGAACACATCAATTAATTTTTGTTTTCTTTTCCCGTCCTTCCCCATCCCAAAATTTTGAAAACTCGCTTTGTCCGATTACCGATTAACATTTTACTGCCAATTTCACGTTTCACAGACTGGAGGGTTTTAACTTATTAAAAATGAGAGTCAGAAAAGCTAATATATTGTATAAGAAAGAGAAAAAAAACCAAACCCCGTTTGTTTACATATGTCTGAATACAAAGAAACGACTTTGTTGACGCTTACAAATATATCGTTAGAAAGGAGGGCAATGATTAAATTACATTTCTTTAAAAAAAGGTTATGTCCCTGTAGAAAATAATTTAAAAAATTCTATGACGGCAATGACTGCATTATAAGTTACTTCTTTTTTAAAAAAAATCTGTAACACAACATAGTCAAATATATCTTAACACAATTATAGAAACACCACATGACAAACTATAATATATATATATAGTATCATATATGTGTATGTATGTATGTATGTATGTATGTATGTATGTATGTATGTATGCATATATGTAGAGCGAATACATTCAGATGTGCTCAGTGTGATTTTGGTAGAATTGGCTGTTTTTCATTCTCTCCTTCTCAACGAACTAAATGAAGCACTTTTTGAAAAGGTTTGCCTCGTGAAATCACTGAGCTGCCTGCCTTTCTTTCTTTCTTTCTTTCTTTCTTTCTTTCTTTCTTTCTTTCTTTCTTTCTTTCTTTCTTTCTTTC